ATTAGAAAGTTTTAATCGATCGTTTTATCTTTTCTGTTCTACCCGTTAGCTTCCCCGAAGAATCATTCAAAAACCTCACCCAGTAATTTTCTTTGAAGGGTAGCGAGAGACGCTGAAGGTGCTTTCTGTGTACTCAGGCGTCTTCAGAAGGCTTATCTGATTGAACTATGCAGCAGCATCTGTTGGGAGGCTTCATAGAGCTTTCCTAGGCTACTATCATAAAAAAATCAGGGAACTGAAAGTCTGTTTTAATCTCCTCCCAGAGGGGAACCGACTGAGAACGAGATGGAAGGGACACATAGCTACGGCGGGATTCACTCCGGTGCTCAGACTCCTAACCATACTTGTGGTAGTTTTGATATTCTCCATTACTTCATTTTTACTCTGACACGTGGGTCATTAGGTCCCGATAGACAACTTTGCTTTCTTACTAATATTTAATAAAAGGTAGTGAACTGACTGAGCAGCCTGAAATGGACAGAAGATGAGTGTGGTACCTTCTCCCCGAAAATCGCGTCGCTTTCGCAGCACCCGATCTCGTTGCGCGCTACAAAGGGCGAGGTTCAAATTCCCAGGGGAGGGATACGGCCGTGGAACCACTGAAGCTTGGGGATTTGAGTGAAGTACCGCCACCCTTTCCATCTATCAACAGCTATCATCTGCTACTACCTCCTCCATCTAGCACTGACTACATACTGTCTGACTCCTCTCCGACAAGAAGCGCTTTGAGCTGAAATACAAGTCTTGCACAAGATCATATCGGTCAAGTCGAATGAATTGCTCCTGAAAGAGAGTCGCTCACGTTTACTTGCCGAATGTTTACTTGTTTACTGAGTCTGTACAGGATACAATTAAATAAGCACTTGAGATAAATCTCTGAAAAAAAAACAATCGAAAAGAAAATTAGCTAAACCGGATAGTAATTACAAATAAACAGGAATCCAAAGAAAAACAGCCTATCTTCTCATGAAATCTTTCGAGGTTAATCGATTCATGAAGAAAACATAGACTTGAATTAATTTGGAGTTTGAAAGGGATCGAGGCCTCTACGGAGGGCGCTGACTATCACGGCTTGCTTTGTCTGCCTATGGATGGTTCCTTAGTTCTTCTGGTCTGTCCTAAGAGAGCTTTTCCTTAGCCGGCATTTTCACTTTGAAAATCTCTCGACGACGTATTTTATAAAATAAGCTGCGATTAACAGCAGACTGAGCTGATTAAATCCCTATGAGCAATGATCTGTTGGGCGATGTCATGGGCTGGTGATATCACTCATTAGATAATTGCTCACTGGGATCTACCGAGCTCGATCTTTGTCGTTGATATGGACAAAAAGATTGGCCTCTAGCATTTCTTCAATCCAGACCTCGTCTTCCCGGTATCAGTGCTTATCCACTATACTACAGGGACTCAAGTCTTTCCGGCACAATTTATGCCTATTCCGAGATATCTCTTATAGTTCGAGTGAAATAATGGAAGCTATGATGTAAAGCAATGCAAAAATGGCGAAAATCAGGGGATTTTGTGAAACATTTCGCTTAAAAAAAGTGGTAAGAAAAGGGTTGTACGAGATAATGTGTCTGTAACCGTCTAGGTGTCTCCCACATAAACGTACTATTCGTCGGCATCTTGTTTCTTCATTGTGAATGGGGCAGCCCTGCAGGGTCGTCATAAGACGGCCAGTTCGGGTGTGTCCGTCGGCTAAGTAGATATTGTAGTCTTCATGGGGCCTTGTTGAGGTCGCTTTTCGACCCGGCAATGGCCCACGTACTATATTTGGGAGCTACAGGTTTATCTTAGGGGAGTATCTCAGAAAACATTTTATCGTGAAATTTGCTATTAATGACATCATTTAACTGGTGTTTTAACCTCTCTGATCAATACGAATCCAATCAATCGATAACCGTAGACCTCAAGGACTAGACTGACCTTTCTTCTATGCTAAATTCATCGGTAAACTGCCATCTCCAAGTGACGAGGATGCTTCCAATGCATCATCGGACCCTTTAAATGGGAGCTTGATGGAGTAGTTTACAATTTGGGAGCTTTGTGACCGACTCGCTTAGGCCGATGTTGACGACGTGGAACTTGGAACTCAGGCGCTTGACAAAGATCCCGTCTACCTCATTAGTTTCTGGAAGAGCCTAATTTTGAGCGTTTGGAGGGTAATAAAATGAAATCCTGAGAAGACACTGAATGGAAAAGTGAACTGGCGAGCTCTGGGATTATCTTCTTCCTTGGCTCCCCCGAATATTCGGCTTTCACATATGGGTTTACCAACTAGTAATGGGCCTATTTTGGGAAGGAAAACATCGATTTCAGCTATTATATTTCTTAGTGTTGGCCTCAGTCATTACTTCTATGCTTCTACTGCTCCAAGTGGCTGTGCCCATGGATTGCCTTTATCTTATCCCTTACAACTATAGACGTAGGCCTAGAGAATCGCCATCAGCTTTCCAGTCGTTCAGCCTGTCCTGCTTCTGGTGCATGAAGGGTGACTTTGTCGATACTCTTATACTGGTTACCTTCAAGAAAGGGCGTATCGGCCTTTTTAATTAAATATTCAAACTTCATAAAAGGAAATTGCATCATTAAATGTTGCTGAGGAAATGAAGGAGGGAGTAGAATATTGCTCTAAAGTACAAAAAATGCAATTCTCATGCTCAGAGAGTCGATTCCCCAAAAAAGGGAGATTCCCATCAATTCTCACAGACAGTAGTGATCATCCTCGGAAATAAGCCGAACTTCGTATAGGAGAGCATACTTATGTCGTATTCGGGAAATCTCCCCAAGACTTTCTCAACTTTCAATAGTAATATGTTTGATCGGTGATAATAAGTAGTAAATCGTGATAAATAGTAATAACCGTAAACAAATCGATAATGCAGTGAGTCACTTCCAACAAATAAGTCATAATAGAACAACAAAAAACGAAATTATTGGGTTCACATCCTGTTTGGGGGTGTTTTGCCTTAATCCTACTTCCGCATCATAATTGATAAGGAATGATCCCCTCGAAAACATTATTCATCTAAGTGGACGCGACATACAATGGCCGTTTTCTATACTACATAGGCTTCTTTTCGACGTCCTTAACAATGTGTAGTTCGGTTCACCTAAAAAATTTCTAGGTATCCGATTATCAGGTTGAATTCAGCTATTTCCATATCCATCTTGAAGTTCGAGTGGAGGTGGTGAAGTGGGAAGTGACCCAGTGTCATGTATGCACGGTCTGGGGAACGATTCCCAGGCCGGTACTCGCAAAGAAAGCTGAGTCTTCTCTCCTTTGGATGTCAGCTCGATGATACCAGACCCATGAGAGGACTAAAGCACTGACTTGTACATCGGCTAGCCAGCGCAAGTCCAGTGTAGGCCACATAGGCATTCGAAATGTCACTACAATCCCGAGTGGAAGTTGAGTGTGGGGCGCATACTGCGAACGAGATTGACTGACATCATGAAATATCCCCCAATCTTATCATTTGCATACTACTGATTCCTTATGTTTGTCTCTATTCCATCCGGCTTGTGCATTTGGTAGCCAAACTCAGTCAGCAACTAGAGCTACCGCTTCCCAAAAGAAATAAGTTCTTCAAAGGTGAGCCCCACGGCAAGAGGATAAAGGTGATCAACCCTATTCTGGGATGCACCTCCGAATTCAGCTTTCATTCAGAATCGTTCGTTCGTAAGGGCTTCAACAAATCGTGATGGCTCTGGTGTACTGAAAGTGCCTTCTACTTCCCCCTTCTGTTGGGTTTTTTCGTAGGTGCTCTCGCTAGGGTGCTATACATCATGGGAGCTCTTTGTCATCATGGCATTTAGTTTGGTAGTAGGTGCCTTTCTTCAATGGGAATAATGGCTTTTACACGCAACGTTTTTCAGCATATGATCCACTATATTTCAGAATTCTTTGATTTGTTGTCCACTATGCCATACGAAATGCTCATATAAAACACGACATCACTTCTTAACGGCGTCGACGTGGCGTGACGATGATCTCTACCGTAGATGATGGATGAACAGAGTTGATGAGTCGTTTCAGATCCACCCATTGGCCACCACCGACGGCTTACGGCGTCACCAATGCTACCGACCGGACCCCACGCTCTCTCGCCATTCATTCATCCTATGCCGAGTAGATGTCTATTTTGGAATACGAAAGTTCTCGTTCCGGGAGGGATTTCCACCCTGGGCTGAACTATGACGCAGCTATAAGTACATGTGTACCAGTGCTACCAATAGATCATATGTACTAACAATCCCTACTAGTAAGGCCTCCGAGAGTGGAACCTTCAGCCTTTACTTTTGATTGAAATGGAGCTCTAAATAGGGCTAAAGGCTTCAAAGGGTTTTCTAAAACTCTGAGCACCTACCAGTTGGTTAGCTCAAGCTTACGGGTAGCGGTTCCTATGCCATTCTGTCTGTCGGTTTGTCTCTCTGTCTCCCTGTATGTCTGTCTGTCTTTCTGTCCACCTGCATGTCTCTCTACCTACTTGTCTGTCTGTCTGTCTGTCTGTCTGTCTGTCTGTCTGTCTGTCTGTCTGTCTGTCTAGCTCTCTGTAGATGTTGGAATGTTGCTACCTATCACTTATACCGCTTCCAGCCTTCCACAGACCGCTCTCCAGCCCTGAGTTCTACAAATCTTCCTCCACATGCATCATCATGACCTATGAAGACTTCTAATTATGTTCACTGAATTCGGGGCAGATTCTTGTTCTGAATATTGAATAAACAAGCAAGTAAACAAGATCAAGATGTAGTAAAAAGATGAGAGGAAGGACAAGGAGATGTAACTGCTCATCATCAATCTTTTTACCTCTCTGTTGAACTTTGAGAACTCTTTGAGATCTCTCCGAATCTCTGTGATCTCGAGATGCTTCCACAGTTGCTTCCATGTCTCCTTTGATTTGTGCTCGTGAATTCGATCGCGTTTTACAGTGTTCCGTCGATTTTTAATAGGCTTAGGCACTAAAAATAATGGTGTTAAAAGAGGTGCTTCCAGGATGCGTGTCAGCGGATTTCTTGTGTTTCTTGCGTGTATCGTCGCTTGGGCGTTCGCAACACCAGTGAGCGATACTGAAGCGGCGTACAGGATATGTAAGCTCTTCTCCTTACTGTTAATGTTCACATAACTGCAAAGAAAACCCGATGGGAAGGTGAAGTGAAGCCATCAAATTCCTAGAATCCAGCGTTTACTACCCATTCAAGGTCAGGAGCATGTTGAGGGATCCTTGGGAGAAGGCGAGGAACTGGCGATTTTCCTTCTCCTTCTACCCTTCCGAGTCGTCTTCACAAAGTAGGGAAAAAATTGGAATCAAGTCCTGTACAATGGTCTTGAAGCTTGGTTCTTAAAGGATAGTCGCACAGAGTCGCACCGCAGGGGAAAGAGGGAGAGGGAACGGTCTTACCCAATCATGAACAACTTCCCTACACACAGTGGGCAGGCTGTACGCATTCCCCAACATTAACAGCTGTTATCCACTTTTTTCTCTCACTTTTTTTTTATTTTTTTATTTCAGTGAACAAATATCTGCAAAGGTTCGGCCCCGATGACCTACAGGATGTGTACCTTTACGGAGATCATGGGTGAGTCCAGTTCCTTGTTTATAAATGACACAAATCATGAAGATTGTGTCCATAGCAATAGATGAATGAGCGATTGGTGTAGGTAGAAATAATTGGCGATTTGATGGGGCATGACCGACTATCCATCAAATAAAACGACTTCCCACGTCATTTTGGATGGAGTAATTTTAAAAAAACCAAACTTATTGGTAGAGTTCCCGATTATGATGGTAACCTATAGTGTAACGGTTTTGTAAAAGATAGGTTAGGATAGGTACACCTGGTTACAGTAAGCTACCTGCGTTCCGGTGGGAATGATGTGGCCTGCACAGCTTCTACAGCATCTGAGAACTCGTCCGCCTTCGGTGTGTACGTCGGCTAAACAGGTTTTGGGGTCCTAATGACGCCCTATTTGGTTCGTTTTCTACTCGAAAACATCTCTTATGCTATCCTTGGGGGTCATAGTCTCAAGGGGAACCTCAGAAATCATCATCGTGAACCGTGCCTCTAAAGTGGTAATGCCATGGTATCAAATAACCAAGTTTTCATCGACTCACAGTCAGACTAATGAGAATCTCTAGATGGTAGATTGATAGTAAACTCATGCACAATGGGCAAAAAAGGGGATGTGGTAAGATCAGAAAAGAAACTATTCAATCATGGGGATTTCGAGGCATACTTTAGACTTGCCTTCTTTTTGAAGATGCAGTGAACTTTGAAGGCTTATCAGAATACACCGTGTTAGGTGAGAGCCGACTGGGAGTGTGTCTCTCCTGCTTTGGTAAATCAAAAGTAATCCCAGGGGTTTATGTTGGCCTTGTGTCCAAAGTTGTACTGTTTCCCGAAATCTTGCCCGGGTGCATGGTCATTTGTCAAAGATATCAAGGGACAATTGTACTCGTGAGCGGGTCAAAGCTGCCTTTAGCGTTCGGCAAGTCTAACGAGAGTCCTGAGGTGATTTACGATTGAATCTCTTCGTCCTGAAAAGGATAAGGTAGTGATTTCCTGAGTGGTAAACATGGCTTAATTTCTAAAGGAGAAGTATTACTGCCATATTCGGGGTATTCAAGGACATTCTTGCGTCCTTGAAATGTCTGAAATAGTACAAATTCAAAACGCAACTGAACTGGAATGGCTGGTGGAAGATTTTTGAAGAATTAAGCCTTCAGCGGAGTCTGCCTATTCTAAAGATCTAGCCTGAAGAACTACTACTGAAGACCTGGCCTAGGAAATATCTTTCATGGTCAGTTGATACTCGTTTGAGTGGAAGACCTTAGACCTCGTTTTACCCTTTGTGAGTGGGAAAGGGGGAGTGTTGGTAAAGAATAACGCTTCGCTAGGGGAGAAATCGGCGAAATTCGTGGAATGTAAGGCTTCTCGAGAGCAGGAGAAAGTAGGGTTTGTACGAGATTGCCATGATGGGAATGGTAGGGAGGGGACTTGGACGAGTTTTCAGTTGCTGCAATTGGGTTAAGAGCAGGCTAAATTAAGAGAAAATAGCCGAACATGGCCTTCCACTGTTGCCATGGGTCACGACTAGTTCGAGTTCCCAACATGGATATCCCTTATAAATGATGCAGCCTCTACGACATCGCTGAAACTCGTCCTCTGTGGGCGTGGCAGACGGTGTATACAATCATCGAGCTCTCAAACATCTGATCTTCTTTCTGAGATTTTTTTAAAACAAGTTCCAGCTGATTTCGTTCATTACGCTACAACGTGAAAAACGTAATTTTAGGTCGAACAAACGTGGACTGGGCCCCCGACCTCTTCGATTCGGTTAAATAATCGACACTCAATACTTCAACATCCATAATAATGAGGTCGATCTAACATCCATTGACCATACCAACCACAATTCTGTTCATCGTATTAGCAGACACTTTGACTATCCCCCTTTTTGCTGTCCCGACGCTGCTTGTGATGTGTTGATAAAGGAGAGTTTAGGTTCGACAGGACATTCTGTACATGACATCACAATAGTCAAGTGTTTGAAAATTTAGATATTATCAATAAAAACAGTCTACCGAGTTGGGAAAGAAGAAAATTCCGCGAAAGTTGTTCAACCATTAAATTATGAACGTCTTAAAAATCAACACGGCTGTTTCTTGATAAGTTCCAGATGTCAAAAGATACAGTTCAGCTCTCCTGCCCATATTTATTTCCCAGCTGGGTTTGCAGATAAATCTATCCTGTCTTATAGCCCACAAAGAAGACAAGGACAAGAGCGGTCTCGGTAGAGTATGGGATAAAGTGCACGGGACCTGGATAGCGCAAGTATGGGTTCGAGTCCGCACAAGGCCGAGGATTTGTCCTTTAAGTTGCCAAGCCTTTCAGGTCGCGTACTGCGGCGGAATAATAGCACTTAACAAAACATCACGTCACAATATTTATCATAGGTTACAGTAACAATGCTTGAAATATAGGTAAAGGAACCAGTCGCTCAGAAGAAAGCTATCGCTTGCCTGGACTCCCTAATTCGAAAAAAGTGGTTCCTGATCGAATGGAGAAAAGAATGAGCAATGGACAGGACCAAAAATAGTAATCTTTGTTCAGAAGCACTGTTCAATAAGATTCCCATGCATTAGTCATGATCCATCGGAACCTTTCCACACGGGAGAACGCAGGCATGAAGCAGGAAAATCCGCACTGTGCGATTGGCCCTCCCATTCGTTCGCCGACTGAGGGCANAAAACGTGAGTTGTGTTTCGGGTTTAGAAGCAACTTTCTTAGTTCCTCGAACTTTTCCGATCTTTCCCAGCACCCAACCAAACAATAATGTGCACCGGTGCAGAAACACTGTCGCGGAAGGAAGTGAAGTAGCGGCTCTGGATGTTCTGATTAGGAAGTGCCTGAGCAATGGATAAAACACGATCAAATTAGGAAGACCACAAAAACGCCAGTGATTCTTATGTTGTTAAACTTGCAAGAAACCGATGCTCCTCTCAAGCCATAGCATAGAGAACTCTTTCATGTCCATTGGACCAAAGAAAACCATTTATGAATGAGCCAGTTCGGCAAATCGGGATGAACGATTCAGTGATGAACGAGAATATGATGTTCTACAGTTTCAAGGATTCATTTTAGTTGATGTACGACAGTTGAAATCAAAATTGAAGCCACTGAAATCGAATAGGTCATTATGTAGTGGCAAACAGGACAGAAAAGCAAATAATCTGAGGAGGTCCTCTTTTGATAATGCTAATCATTAAATATTCCAAAATAATTTGTTGCCTGTAGTGAACTTCCGTCCCTGCTTTCTACGCTTTTCCATAGAGACAGTGTTCGGTGGTGTTGTGTAGGGCTGATGAAAACTCTAGCCAAGTAATCAAGCTAATCAAAGTAGAGATTCAAAAAAATTCAACAACTGCAACAACATAGCTCAAAGGAGGCCTCGTTAGTCTTGAAGGCGCAGTTCACAATAATTTTGAGGTACCCTTTTGAAGTCGAAAAGCAGAGGTATTGGTTGGGAATAGCGCACTGGTGGTGAAGTAAGCGAGAAAATTCGTCGGTTTCGTGAAAAATAAAGCTTCTCGAAAGTAGTGAAAATAGAGCTTGTACGAGATTACCATGACGGAAATGACATGGAAGGTGCATTTGGACGAGATCCCAGTTGTTGCAATTGCGCAAAGAGCTGACTAGCTTAGGCCAAAACTGTCCAGAATTGTCCTTCACTGTCGCTATGGGTCATGACAAATTGTTTGAACATGGGCTCTATGTGCTCCATTGCGAATGATGCAGCCTTTACGATGCCCATAGAACTCGTCCGCGCTTTCTTACGGGATAATATTTGGGCCTTTATAAAACCCTATCTAAGCCGCTTTCCGACCTGACGGCGCTACACATGACGTACTAGGTGGCCACACATTTATCCTAGCGGGATATCTCATAAGGTATTTTATGGTGAACTGTGACTTCAAACAAATACAAAACAACGACATATTTCTGAAAAAACCACATCGAACTCACCCAAACAACGCCGAACTCGGCCTTTGTCAGATGAACAATGACAAGCAGTAAACCTTCAAACGACCTTACTGATCCGATTCTATAAAACTTATTACAAAGATTACCGACCCCTTTTTTGAGCCTTTATTGTACGCTTTATGTAACAAACTCGTCCGAGTATTATGTTTTGGCTCCTTCTCGGTATTGAAGCCACCAAATACATCGTTTACGATAGAGCCATCCTGTGTGGTTGGAAAAATATTGTGATTTTCCCAGTCCAACCTTTATAGGGACCCATCTTTGCAAATTGATACAAACTGAACAATTGTCAAGGCTCCATGATGACACTTTTCATGGATCGAAAGGCGCATCTTCACACCCAAGAAAGCAGCGTCGTCCTACTCCGCGGCCATTTTTCTGACTCGAACGAGCGGATCCCATTCTCTGGAACAGCCCTGGGAGAAAACAGTAGGGCACCGAGGGACTGGGCACCATCATTGAAGAGCCTGCTTTTGTTGCCTAGGAGTGTGTGTGTATGTTCTCAGCGTGAAATTGCTGCTTTATTCAGAATTTCGCTATCTACAGTACCTTGACGAACGTTTCTTCATCAAGTTCGGTTTCTTCTCCCGTATTTGTTTGGAGACTCGGCTGTTTACTTAACTATTTTTATCGATCAGGCGGAGGTGGTGTAGTGGCAAGTGGCGCACTATATCACACGCACGGTCAGGGGTTCGAATCGAGGATCGATGCCCGCCTAGGCCAACCAAGCCTTCCATCCCTCCGGGGTAGGTGAATTGGTACCAGACTCGTCTGGGAGGATAAGTGCACTGACTTGTACATCGGCTGGCCACCGTAAGTCATTGTATAGGCCATATACGCACTCATTACGCCGCTACGATACTGAATGGAAGTCAGCTATTTAAAGATATCGCCGCCTGCACAGCTGCTTGTACGACAGAGCATAGGAAACTAAATTAAGCGATTGCTAAAAAATTATTCCGCGGAAGTGTTCGGTCGCCGCTTTCATGTTACGGAAGCCAAGAAGCAAAGTGTACTGACGAAAGAAAAGAAAAGCAGTCGCTTATGTAGATTCTTTCCAATTACCCTGATTTCCCGGCTCTTTGTGGCTTGGATTCAGTTAGTTGCCCATAAGTTAGGTTCATGCCAGTCGACATCTTGAACTCTCCGGATTCATGGTTTACTTTACTTCCGAAATTGTTTGTTGACCGCAGTTGGTAAGATTAACATTTACGAAATCTTAGCGATGGCGATTTTCGCGGCTCGGGGGAACGTGGCTTGTTTTATCTCTTACGAATGCCGATTCACCTTACAATGTGTATGCCAATTAATAAAAGCGCTAGAGTTGGAGCCGAGCCATATATTTCTTTTTCCTTAAATTTAGGTGAATGTGTTTCATTCATACTGAAGTTTTTGGATTCGCGTCTCTTGTCAGGTTCTGATGTGGGGACTGGGTCTTGGTTTTGGAGGCGGCCGTATCCTCTCACTACGAACTGAAACCTTTCCCTTCTAGGGTGACGGGACCTCGCACGGGTGTGGTGCAGCAGGAACAAAATCGTCGCGTCGCGAGAGAGAGACGCCGCGAGCGAAAGGATGTAGCAGAGTGCAGCAGCAAGTAAGAAATTTAGGAACAAAGGAACTATGAGTAGAACCATGCCATAAGTAATAATCGCATAGCGACTGAGCTGTGTGAAGAACGCTAGAACTGTTATAACGAGGTAAATGGCCCGCGACTGCCGCGTGCGGCGGATCGATTACACAAAACCGTTCCTACTGCCCGTCTCCCGACCTCCCCCAGATCTCCCCCGTTCGCTTTGCCGCATGGTCTTTTCGGTCTTTTCTAGTTGTATCACGGCTTCGAACTGCAATTGCCGCACTCAACCCATCTCCCCGCCAATTGACACCATATTTTTTGTTAAGTGACTTTCTTATTCGACCATTTTCTGTTGCATTCTATTATTTCTTTGATCTGGTTATTTGGCTTGAACTTGCTACAATGTGTTTGGCTTCCGTGTGCAAAGCACAAATTTGCTTCTGCCCTATTATCGACGATCGAGACCGCATTGAAATTAAAGGCAAGCGGTGGCAAATAGTCGGAGGGCCTCCTAACTCACGGATTGGGCGTTCCAGTCCTACCTCACATTTCTGCGATGCGCGGCGTGTGAGGCGGGAGAGATACGTTTTCGGGGTAGAAGAACCATACCAGGGTTGACTCCAGGTGTACAGAAGTCTTCTTCACTAATCCTTTATTCTTCGCAGTCCGGGTACAATAAAGACGTGATGATGATATTGACCTCCTGCCCCTTCTACAGGAGCAGTGGCTTTTTATACACACAGAATTCTAGTTCTCAAAACATTCCTAGGCGGATACAATGAGATAACATTCCTTTAACATAAACATTTGCAGGAGCTTGAGAGAATTCAAACGATGATTCATTGGCAGATAACAATTAATATACATTCCAAGAAAACTAGGAATAGAGAGGAAATAGAGGATTAGGAAATTCTCTATACCAGGTAGTCATGTTTTCAACAATTAGTGACAGTTGCCACAATTATTTGTTTCAGGTGGTACTGTAGATTGATGACAGTTGCCTGTACAGAAAAATCGACTATGTTTACGTAGATTCCGTATGGAAAAATAGTTACGTCAACGTCAGGCGCTGAACGAAGCTGTAAGGCAATGTATATGCATTCCACCAACGATCATGATATTGTTGTTGCTTAAAACGAAAACGGAACGATCACAAGACTTCCTAATTTAGAGCTACTATCCAGAAGAATGTCTAGAGGAATAAGTTGCTGAACACGTAATGCA